AGATAAAGCCCTCTGTATTGACTGTTGGACCGATGCCCTCTGCCTAGTTGCCCTCCGTTTAGTAACCGGGGGTAGAGAGTGGTACACTGGTTGTCCGTCTACCAGATCCTCAGATCGATGGAGCCGACGACCTCTAATCCAGAGTGCTTGGGGAATATCTACCGGGTTGGAAGCAATGATGCTAAACTACCTAGCAAAAAGATAAATAAAACAGTAAATAAACTAACAATCGGACAGCATAACGGCATAAAATAAACACACACAACGCACAGTTGGGTATCCATAATACACAGTTGGTAAGCCGAACACACTGTTCCTCGATACTGATCACTGTTCCCCAAAATCTCTGTTCCCAAAACTGAACCTGATACCTGCAGATAAATGATTCTCACAAACTGATACTGATGCCCTCAGGCCTAATACTCAATCTTGCAAACTAATATGCATGTTCCTGTAGAGCAACACTCTAAAAACACATAGCAAGTAAAGAGAGCCAAAACACCCCTATGTTAGGGTAGGGTTTCCCTGTCCTATTTTTCCAGGAGCTAGGGTTTCACTATGCACGCAGCAATTTTCAAACAGCCTAACATCGGGTAAGCAGCCTGTCCTAACTTGGAATGGTCATTATGGATCCGAGTATGCACTAGGTCGAATGGTCGAAAAGGGTGCCCTAAAACCGGGGTTTGTGTTCCCATACTGTCAGAGCCCATAACCGGTTAGCCTTATGGTCATGCCTTGACAAGACAAGCCTCCGGCAAACTGTTCAAGAATGGCAGATGGCAAACACTGTGTTCCTAGGCGCACCAATGCAAATGCAATGCAAAGAGATACATAAATGAAGTCAAAATGGGATATCACGAGTTCAAGTCAAGCTCTCCAAACATCATCCCCAGCAGAGTCGCCAGAAACTGTAGATGCGCGCGCGAGGGGACCCGCTACTACAGTTCGGACTCGATTTTGTTACGGTTCTTAATCTGAACCAAAGAGTCCAAATCCGGCAAATCGTTTTGAGAAACAAATTTTTTGAAAAGAAGTGCCAAACATGGACTGCTTTGCCAGATACAGAGTCGCCACCTAAATATTTTAAAATGGGAGAATTTAGGAAACCCTGACTCGGTGCCGAAGGCCACATGTCCGTCATCACCGGAGTTGTCTCGGCTCGGGAGCTAGGGTACGACTGGGGAAGGTCAGCTATAAGCACCCCCTCTCGCCCGGTCCGAAGACCGGCCTCTACTAACCATGATATCCGATTTTGAAAACGTTATGTGTTCTTATTCCATTTATTACCCTAGAATTACTATGTTATGCGCGCAGCAAACAAGTATAGACTAGATTGCCTAATTTGGAAACAAGCATTGCATATTCGTTTGTTTTGAAAAGCGCTTTGGAATTTGCTACTCGCAAGTAGGCTAAAACACGGATTTCAACGAGTTTTTTCAATTCAAACAATCCAACCTTCACCCACGGGCATTCAAACAGTTTATCTCATATAAGTGCTTAGCCACATGGTAAGCACATTATCATGGCAACATTCACACGCATGCGATATGGTAAAGCGAAAATACTTACATCGTACTCCGCGCCAAAACAACAAACTAGTTAGCAAACATGCATATCCTAGTTCATGTCAAGTTGACTAATGCAACACATGCAAGATGCAATTAGAGTAGGCTCGGCTAACCTAAACATGGCATGTGAAATGCAACCAATTGATGCACGTATTCAATTTGGAATTTGAAATACAAATGCAGTTAGCATGATGTACCGAGCCCGGTGTATGCAGGACAGATGTATGAATGCACGCATGCATTGCATAAGGTATGCTAATTTTAAATATGCCCTAGTCTACCATCATAAGCAGGTAAATAAAAAGAAAGAAAGACGTGGGATTGGAAGACATACACCCCACTCACACACACTTATTACAGATTTGCCCTCGCTCGGAGGGTACAAATAAATATTACAGTCCGAATAACAAATAAATTAATTATTACAGAATTTCTACTTAATTAATAGAAAAAATGAAAAATGAAGGAGAAAGATGGCCACAGCCTCCACCTCGAGATGCGCGAATGATACATGCTCGAACCCGCCTTGCCCCGGAAAACCCGCACCATACCAAGGCTGTCTTTGCTTACACTGCCCTATCTCTCTGAAAAATTCCAAAGTGCTAGGATAGGTTTATTGCATACTGCAGAGTACCATCGGCTGGGGGAACTTCCCACCGGTAGTGCATAATTTCCATCGGCTACTTCTGGATTTATCGGCCATTCACCAATGGCCGGTCGGCACTGAATTCTGCCGGTCGGCTGAAACTTCCTACAGGAGACAATTTTGACAGCAACAGAGAACATACAGTATATGGCATGGGATTTCAGGCACATGTGAGCATCGCTATGTTTCCCATCATGTGTTGAACTCAGGGGAACATGGCCCTCGATGCTCGAGCCATCAATGGTGCATGATAGCCCAAGAGATCAAGCTTGCCACTTGATGTAAAAATGCATGCAATCACACAAATGAGGACCAAGACCCTATCATAC